CAGGCGATAAGAAGGATTTTTTACAAAATTTCACCGAATGTACTCGAAATAGCTGAACGAAGTCGAAGACTTCCTCTTTCTTAGCGAACGAGACAATTTCCTAGATCACAGTTGCACTCTATAGACGAGGGAAAAAAGGAAACTACCGAATGGCAAAATTTATCGACGTTCGCACGCGTGGACCAGTTCTGACGAAGAAAAAAAAAAAAAAAAATAGTAAAAAGGAAGACACACGCCCAATCGATCTCCAACTTTGTCGCACGTCCCCCCTTTGGTTTTTCCCTTCGTTTGCGTATGTCAGATCCGCTTGTAATCACAAAAACGCGAGAACATTCCAAGCGAAACGAAGGATACTTTGTTCGACATCTTTGGGAGAGACTATATTCTACGAGTTGGCTTATTTATCTACCTGAACTAACTCTCTCGAGATCTATCACTTAATATTGCAACAATTTAATGTGCTTTTTGTGAGGTGAAGAAGAAGAAGAATGATTTCACTGAACGAAAAGAAATTTCAATTTGTCATATTGCTCCCTCCATATCGACGATCTTTGTTTCGTGACTTTCGAAGGAGTGTCTCGTTAACAGAGGCATTTGTTGGTATTAGACACAGATATTGATTCACCGTGATCTAGAGGAAAGTCTACGAAGTTTCGTTTACCATTTATCAGAAACGCCTTTAGGGGTTTGTAACTGTAAGATGATTTCAAAGCATGTATCAGCGAAGGAAGACTGTGAACGTCGTTATTGGGATCACGTGGGCTCTGTGCTTTCACGATTTTCTTTGTGACACAGCCACGAGGCTGGGCTCCCGATCACGCGTGTTACATGGAGGTGTGCGAAGAGCCGAAGTATCGGGTCGGGTTCCCGATAATTTCGGGGATTTCGAGAGTGTCGGGATTCCGGGGCACTTTGGGAATCCCGAGACTTCTGAGGATCTCGACACTTTCGAGGATCCTGGCACTTTTGGAATCCCGGCATTTTGAGAATTCCGATTCTTTGAGAATCATGGCACTTTCGAGAATCCCGGCACTTTTGGAATCCTGGCACATTGGGAATCCCGGCACTTTGGGAATTCCGACTCTTTGAGAATCCCGACTCTTTGAGAATCCCGGCACTTTTGGAATCCTGGCACTTTGGGAATCCCGGCATTTTGATAATCCCGATTCTTTGAGAATCATGGCACTTTCGAGAATCCCGGCACTTTTGGAATCCTGGCACTTTGGGAATCCCGGCATTTTGAGAATCCCGATTCTTTGAGAATCATGGCACTTTCGAGAATCCCGGCACTTTTGGAATCCTGGCACTTTGGGAATCCCGGCATTTTGAGAATCCCGATTCTTTGAGAATCATGGCACTTTCGAGAATCCCGGCACTTTTGGAATCCTGGCACATTGGGAATCCCGGCACTTTGGGAATCCCGGCACTTTGGGAATTCCGACTCTTTGAGAATCCCGACACTTTCGAGAATCTCGGCACTTTTGAAAATCCCGACTCTTTGAGAATCCCGGCACTTTGGAAATCCCGACACTTTGAGAATCCCGGCACTTTCGAGAATTCCGACTCTTTGAGAATCTCGGCACTTTGGAAATCCCGGCACTTTCGAGAATTCCATCTCTTCCGGGAATCCCGGACATTCTCGAGAACTCCCATACTATCCGGAATCTGGAAATTTTCGTGAACTCGTCCGGATCCCGGAAAAAATTGCCAAATTCCGGCAAAATTCTCGCACACCTCTAGCGTCACAGTCTTCCTCGAGACACGTTCTATAATACTGTATTTACACGATCTCTGTGTGTGCTCGTTATACAAAGGAACATCTTGTTTTTCTTTAAGAAATGATTCCTGTCTATTTCAGTCATGATCGACGCGTAGAACGAGACGTGAAATGTGGTCGAATCGAACGGTAGGAGAAAAAAATGCATTAGAACACACATACACACACACACTCTAATCTTAACCATCGATAAGCTTTTTCGAAATTCTAGAGGACACTTGGCTCTGTGCTCGCCGCACTGCACGTTCACACTCGACGAATTCTCGATTCTTTTTTTTTTTCTCGACACGGAAAGGAAACTGTGAGAGAGAGAGAGAGAGTGAGTATGCGTGAGAGGATAGAGACGAGGGTGTGGGGAGAAGAATATAATATAGGAGCCAAAAAGAAAAATAAACAAAGAAACAGAAAAAAAAAAATGAAAAAATAGTAAAGAAGAAAAAGACGTGTAGATACTCTAGATACGTAGCGATCAGAGAGTTCGAAATTTATGCATACAACCACAGAGGAAAGAAGACGAACAGGAAACAAAATATACATATTATATATAGTTGAAGTGAATTTAATCAACCTTATTCTGTACGTAATGTACGTGGATGAATAAAGTCTTTATTTTTTGGCCTGCATCGTTTTTATATGCTGTACCTGCGTTCTATCGACGTCATCGAATCCCCTCTCTCCGATCTTCACTGTGTTTACTCCAGTTTTTCCTTTTTCTTCGAAGCGTTTCTGCGACAGAGATTTGAAATTTCCCGCCGAAAACGTGGTAATACAAAGTGTCGCGTATCCTCGACGATCGACGGATACATTTTTTCTTTGTTTTGAAACAGTACGACAGACACAGAGGCAAACATTGCGCAAAATAAGGTTGACTAAAGGAGGATAATGCGTTCTAACTGTATTAGACCTAAGCAGATATCTCGTATAAACGTAGTAAAGCTTCGAAGTCGAGTTAAAATTGTTTCCTTTCGAGTGTACGGCTTCGTTTAGATCCATATTGATCCACTTGCCATCTCACAAGCCTTTTTCGCCTGTTTTCAATGCCGATCACGCTCGTCGAGGAATATTTTCGGAGATACATTCACTGGGAAATATTTTTGGGAAATACATTCATTGGGAAATATTTTTGGGAAATATTCATTGGGAAATATATTCGTTGGGAAACATATTCGTTGAGAAATATATTCATTAGGAAATGTATTCATTAGGAAACATATTCATTGGGAAATATATTCATTAGGAAATATTCATTGGGAAATATATTCATTGGGAAATTTTTTTTGGGGAACATTCATTGGGAAATATTTTCGAGGAATATTCATTGGGAAATATTTTCGAGGAATATTCATTGGGAAATATTTTTGGGAAATATATTCGTTGGGAACATATTCGTTGAGAAATATATTCATTAGGAAACATATTCATTGGGAAATATATTCATTAGGAAATATTCATTGGGAAATATATTCATTGGGAAATTTTTTTTGGGGAACATTCATTGGGAAATATTTTCGAGGAATATTCATTGGGAAATATTTTTGGGAAATATATTCGTTGGGAACATATTCGTTGAGAAATATATTCATTAGGAAACATATTCATTGGGAAATATTTTTTGGGGAATACTCATTGGGAAATATTTTTGAAGAATATTCATTGGGAAATATTTTTGGGAAATACATTCACTGGAAAATATTTTTGAGGGAATATTTCGATCGTTTATAATAGAAATTCTACGCGGATTATTCACCGTGAAAATGATTTAACAGAATTTCTTTTGCAATTTCTCCTTCCTTGGCGAACAGAAGCTTTCTCGAAAACACACTTTCCAGGCAAGTGTCACAAATGACAAGGCGTAGGTGGTAGATAATTCGACGTTTCATCGCACATAGAGATTATTTGAGGCGCGACGTGTCACTACGAGGCGTGGAAATTTGCATCGCAGAGGGAATCAGATGGAAACAGGCTGGGAAAATTTGAAAGCAGAGGCGTGTCCGTTAACGAAGTTAAAATTTCCATACGTCGCGCTTCGTTAATAACGCGTTTAGAGGATTTTATTGAGCCGAGGCAGCGAATGGGAAAAGGGTGGGGGGGAGATATCGCGACAAAGCGAAACGACTCATCTGCGTCAAGAACGAATATCACCAGCCATTTA